GTTCTTTCCCACTTCATTTTTTGGTAAAGTTTAGGAGAATTTTTTGTAAATTAATTCGGAGAAAACCCAAAATAACGCCAGCGTTTACAAATACCAGTCAAGTTCAAAGGGAAAAAGTCTATAAGTCGGATGATGATACAATAATTTTTTAAAAGAGATATTTGATGAAGTAATTAAGAAGATTGAGAAATTGAGAAAAAACAAAGCTCAATGAGAGCCTGGACGAAAGTTTCATCCTTAACCATTTGTAAACGGAGAGAAGTTCTATAAAAGTATACAAGATTCTGAACATCAAGGTTGGGTCTATGTAAGATCTGAACACTAGATCGGGAATGATTGAGTTCAAGACCTGGGGGTGTGAACGACCGAACGATGAATTGGACGCAATGTCGAAGATGAGGGGGTCCAGACTCAATATCGCTAACTATAGGATGAGGAAATCAAACAAACTTGGGCACAAGTACTTCGACTTTGAAGTCTATAAATAGAACAGAAAAACCAACATCATTTTTCCAAGCGTTTTATATCTCTTGGAAAAATACAACGACTAAAAAACGTGTCTAGGTGTATCGATTTTGGGCTATGGGTGTTACAAGAATCCCGGTAAATGCAGTTGAAGGTTGTCGCAGTTGTAGTTTCTCGTCGTATTTAAAAATAAAACATTTGACATTGTCAGCAAATTAGGACTCGCTGATGTCATCATCCACCGCTTTTCTTACTTCTTCGATTTTTGATCGTTAGGTTCTGACTAAGCGTACGGTATCTTCATATATCTTCTTCTTTTTTCTAACACGCTTTTGGATCAACATTAAAAAAGAGGCGGAAGATACCGAAGGGATAATCAAAACTCATAAGTCGAAGAGAGACTGAAAATATCAAGGCAAGAACGAAAAACGACGAAAAGGCAAACAGCAATCTACAGGGTAAGTATATCTTGCTTCAAATGTGGTATCCGTCGCGTTGCTAACACTATCATACGCAACAAATTGACGATGGCTACCGACTTACACTCGACGGCACCTAATCCCGTTGCAGCAGTTCCAAGTGTTTACTTCAGAACACGACGTTAATCTTCTGTCCGTCCCGTCTGTTTCTCAACAAGTTCACGTTCTGTTCTCTCTTCTCTGTGTCTCTTTCTTCTCTACACCATACACGCCGATCGATACCTCCGAGTTGTTATTTTCAACAAAGTTTGTTATGATATTCTGTGAATTCACCGGAAACTCGATCCTTTCGAAGTTAAACTACATCACGATGTGGTAGACCATAACTATACTGACCGGATGACTTATTTACAGCGATAGCTAGATGATCTAGTTCAGCAAAAATAGCCCACTTAACACATTGCTCGTCAATGTTTTTCACATAAATGATGGCTTTCTTAGCTACCAGTAAGCCAGGGCTACGTGCTGAGGTCAGTGTTTATTCCTCATACCTGGCCATTTTTTCATTGTAAACGCTGGTGCTTAATTTAAGTTTGGCATGCCTTGAAATTTTCCTAACATTTTTGCTTGTTGGATAATAAGATATTCCCTTCAAGGTTTCCGAAAAAAAAGCTTGGCAGAATTCACCATACTATTCCTCTAATTGCAACAATGTTTACCTGTTATTTGTCGGCATATCAAAGAATTAAGGCATAAAGGAACAAACTATCATGCATAGAACTTGAGAATTCTAGTGAGGGCGATACACGGCGAGAGATTAATATTACAACCAGTTCAATCCATGTCGAAAACGAATTATCTTTTGATTTATTATCAAAGTCATGTGTGTCATTGCAAACTATAGAATTGCTGCTGGTTATCCTTTCCGTTGATACATCCGAAAGATTGGTCGATAAGTTTTTCGGGGGGGGGGGGGGGGGGGGGGGGAGCTGCTTGACTTTCAACTCGATAATATTGTTACCAGTTTTCTTTATAATCTATTTTCGGCATTTGGCTGGAGACGTCGTTAAACTGTTCTGTACGCCGAAAGTGAAGTGAAAAATAAGTTGCGAGAATAAGGGAAAAACATTTTAAAGCCGGAATATATGATTTTTCATTGAAAAATGCAATATAAAAGCCAAATATAAAATCTCAATACCTTCTAAAACTGCCTTAATACAGGTAGAAAAATTAAGCAATCTTTGGCACATAATTTTTAATTTAATTAAGTTTTGAAATAAAGTTTAACTACTGACATGTAAATGTATTATTTTCAAATGCACATTCTCACTGCGAAAATCCATGTTGTTTGAGAACTCCGGCTTGTTGCAGAATCTGGTCTATGTCATTTGTGATCATTTGTCCTAGAACTGACTTCAACCTAAGTCTACTATTAATTTCAGTATGAATACACCTTATGCTAGGATGGAAACTCGATATAGTCGAATCCGCCGATATAAATATTAAGGATGTAACGATGAAGTACAATTTAACAAACGTTGTTGTGTCAATGCACACAACCGACTCCTACTAAGGATCTAAACAAAATTTTAATGTATACTATATATTGCTAAGGTTACCGTTTGTTATGAGATACCATTATAACCACACTCCAAAATGCAAATAGCGCTGTTAACAAAAAGGTGAGTCTAGCTAACGATCATTAAGCCAGAAAACATAAGAGAAACGAGCCACATTTATCTTTACTAAATACAGACGACTTGCAATAACCACGCCTGGTAAACCATCAAATCTCAACCAAATGGTTGAGCGAGAAAAAAGTTTAATGGTGAGCTTTTCTGGTACAAAATATCAAAAATATAGATAGGGTAGGTCGACTTTTAATCAATTTATTGTCAATCTGTAAATATCTTGTTAAATTTGAGAATGCCATGCCATAAATAACTAAATGAGAGCTTGTCTCGTTCATTACTCTGACCAATGTGATTTAAAATGACATCGAAATGACTTTTCTCCCGCAGTTAAGTGCGGCCAGCTCAGTGAGTTTTTGACAAAATGACAATGAGTTCATCAATATGTAACGTATATATCAGTATAAAAGTGTTCTTCTTTGTCACTATAAACGTATAATAACAGTTTTTTTTCTATTTGTTTACGAATGTAATTTTATTAAGCTAGATATGTTATAAAGGACGTCAGGTTGAGATTGTCTGGTATCGGTTGTGATATTCTGGAACAATGTTGAGATTTTCTGTCAAATAAAACTTCCAACTTTATCAACAGTCTCTTTAACTGAGGACGAAATTAAAGTCTTATCTAAAGGTTTGAATTTTTTCCCTACTCCCAGTAACATAGATAATATGAAACTGGAAGATGACCTTAATAACTTTGCCAGAACCCTCAGAATCAAAGAATATTTTGGTAACAAGGATAATGAGGAAGACTCAGACACGTCTGACTCGGACGAAGAAATCAGAATTCCGCATTTTAAAAAGAAGAGTTCATGGATTCCAAAACCTAGTAAATCTGCTACACTGGAAGATGTTATCGACAAAATCAAATCGGATGTTGTTCATCTAGCTAGCAACAAGTACTCGTCATTTTATAACACCTCTTCTGACGAGAAAAAATCCATATAATCGCTGAGAAACCGAGATGATATTGTGATAAAACGGCCAGCAGACAAGGGAAGTGCCGTTGTGATAATGGACAAAGCTAACTACATCGCGGAATCATGATTATCTAGCATTGTACGGCTCTAATATAGAATATGTTTCTAATAATAAATGTTCTTTTTCAGATTTAAAAGATAAAAAGGTGAGATGTGTATTTTTCAAACAATGTTTTAAAATAGCCTACCGAATTGAGTAGACAACTCGGCAACCGAGACCCTCGAAAGATTTGAAGGACAATTCCTATTTTTTTTTATTTGCGCATTTATTGAAACGTAAGCTCGTAGAAGATTGCAAAATCAGTCTTAGTTCTTTTGAATTGCTGCACTGCTGATGTACTTTTAAAACACATAAAAATATTGCACCACGCAAACAAAAAGACAAAAATTTCTCATATATTTTTTGTTGTTCCTTATTAATGAATTATTAGATTAGATGCGATGTTTTTATTCTGAACGCAATATGTCTGTACCTTTATTATATGGGAAGACATGCATTTTGTCACCCTTCACTACTTATATGCTACTATTTTTTTTAGGGTAGACATTTTGAGACATAAAGTAATGTAGGTATCGAAACTCTAAACACAAAATTGTTGGGGGCCTCAGAAATGTTATTGGAAAATAAAAAAAATATATGTTAGAACCTCTTTCGGTTCCCCATAAAGTACAATGAATTAAACTGACAAGACACATTTGCAGCTTGTACGAATAATAAACAATTGATTTTACACCTTTAACTTCCCACATGTAAAGTTACCTCTTCACATATCATAATGTTAAAACAACAATAAAATCCATGTTTTCTTTAGGCATAGCATTTCATTACTTAATATGTTCATTCATTATAGTATATGCATTTTGTTTAGATTGGTTTTGTACATGAACAATCTAAAATCGTGAGAGTATATAGCTATAGGCTGAAAATGACCTCACCAACATGTAAAACTGTTACAATGTACGCCTGGTCCTGCGGCTGAATCTGATGCATCATCATCAAAATCTTTTAAATTCTCTCAATTTTTATTGTTGATGTTGACTTGAGTTAGGAGAATTTCAGCATCCTATATTTTTCTTTTTTTTCTTTTTGGTTTAATTTTTATTTCTAACAAATTAAAAACAATCTGGATTGATTCGAATAGACCCTTTCCACTACTCACCTTTTTCCTACTGTAGTCAGAAAGTGTTTAGAAGTAATAATTATTAAGTATATTTTTAATGAAATAATAATGAGTGTACCTAATCTTGGAACTCATGCAACTTCTGTTTTCATATTGACGACGGTAACTCGTTTGGTAACAGGTATAGAAAAGATAAGTCGATTTAATTAGATTTTCCCTATGGGGACCCTTGGGACACATCGGGCGATTACGGAATTAACCGTCAATGACGATTTTCACTCCTCCGCCAATCAAAATCATTGTTACATTTGGCAAATTCTTCGCAATTCTGTCATTTCTAAAATGGCTGAAGGTGGTGTTACGGACTCTTCTGCCCAATCTGCAATTTCTAATGCCAACGCACTGCTAGAGAATCAAAAGTCTGAGTTAAAGGAACTTTTGAAGAAGCCGCTGAAACGAGATGATAAATGGTGTGTTAAACATTTATGTTAAGTGTATTTGTATTTATGCAATTTATGATTTTGGTTTCGGTTTCAATACACCTTATCGCTAATCCCGCTTGACCCGAGAATCAGTCCCGCTCGAACTTTTGACGTCATACAACAATCACTTTTCCATTGTGGCGTCAGATATTTTCTATTATGACGTCAAAATTTTACGGGAACTTGTGTGATGTCCAGTAATGGCGGACAAATAGCGATAAGGTGTATACCGGGTATAAACGCAAACGAAAGTAAATGCAGCCAAATCGAAAGTGATTTGATGACAGTTCTATGTGCAAACCCATTCTCTCGAGGACAAGAAAAGATAAACCATAACTGTGAACGTCATTTTGAAAGCAAGAGAGGCCCTGTAACTCTTGTTCCTGCTTGTTCAAATTCATAATTTAATTGTTAAAATACGTTACATTTTTCATTGGAAACGAGACATTTCGGCGAAGAAATCATTTGTACTTGGATTTTTTGTTCACGCATTAAAAGTTGTTTTAGTCATACTTCAACCCATTGACGTTGACATTATTTTGAATGAATATTGTAGCATATTTTTTCATATACCGGTACATGTATAATCACCGTCATGTGAAATTGGCACCAGGTTTTTGATCAGATATTTTTAAACTGCAATGTATCGATCACTGTCATTTGAGATGACGTTTTTCAATTTATAGAGGAACTTTAAATATTCCCAAAAAAACACTAGTCCTACCTTTTAATTTGTCTATTTGATGTAACAACACTTGCTATCCTATATGGGATTTTAAAAACCATTATACATGTATGATTTTAGGTTTTTATTGGATACTAAATGGTTTAAACAATGGAAAAAGTATGTTGGATATGAAAGTTGGGATGCCTTTAATGTTGGACAGTCTGAAGCCAATCCAGGACCAGTGGATAATTCTCCATTGGTTGAAGAAGGTATGAAAGAGGTGTTCAAAAGATGCATTGGAAGAAATTGTTTTTTATATTTTCTATACATTGTTTTCTATAACTTCAAAAGGTCATTTACAGTACAAATCAGGGGTTAAAAAATCCACAAGCCAGACCCCCGAGACTAGAACGGTCACAAAAAACAAACGTTGTCAGAATCTCACTTTATTTAGAAACAATATTTTTTTTATAGAAATACACTAACCAAAACATGATTAAGATTTGTTCAACACAAAAAAATGTTGACAGAATCTCACTTTATTTTGAAACAATGAAAAAAAAAAAATTTACAGCAATACACCTACCAAAACTCGATTACAAAATTATTAAACACAAAACCAATAAAAAGGGTGCGAAAGTGAAAGGGGGCAAACGTGAATGGGCGCGAATGGACCCGGATTCAACTAGAACATTTGTGCATCTGTGCATCAGGCAATCAAAACTTGTCATCCAATATGCACGATGGACTAATAAAAAAATTCTTGGCGATAGCAATATAGAAAGTGGAGAATCCCTTCCTCACTATTTTTGTCTTAGCCAATCGAAATCAATACTTCTTCCAGGAATTTGAACTGATTTTCTACATGTTTTAAACATAGAACAAATAACTGGGTGGACCGATATCATGTATTGAACGCAATTCCGGTACTTTCAATATCCAGTTCTCAGTACTTGGGGGTATTATTTATTGCTCATGCTGAGACTTCCAATTAACAGTACTGTGGTTATGATGCATTGATAGATATGACCTGTTTGCATCTGATTCGTTTAGTAAAAATGATGTAGCCTTAGTGTATCAGAAATACATATAAAAATATGATTTTATGTTAAAAAAAAGATTTAAGTGAAAAATAACGACAGAACCACCTTACTAACGTGCACATGTGTGAGATTTAATTTTGCATCCCAAAAAATCTAAAAATATCATTGATACCTTTATCTTACATTCATTTCAAGTATTTTCTCGTAGAAATACAATGTAACTGTGGAATGAACTATTTAAACTCAATTGTGCTTTGTAACCTAAACACAGTGTTCTCCCCAGGCCTTTAAACGACCACGGGCCCGCGATGTATAATTTTTTACCGTGGTGGTATCGTTCTTACCGCGATGTATAATTTTTCTCTGTGGAGCTAAAATTTTCAGTTAAAAAATCGTAAATCGGTAAAGTTTTAAACGACTTGTTAAATCTTTTCCGTGCGGTATAAAATTCCAGGTGAAATTTGACCAGTTCAACACAGATTGTTTACACCACGTGTTCGATTTACCTTATGAGGTTAACCTTGTTGATTGGATTTAATCGATGTAATTAACACTTGTAACATGATTCTTTTGTGTTTTAATTAAGAGTTCATAACTTTATGATCACAGATAACTATTTTATGGCTTCACTCTCCACCCAAGCACTGACCTGTGACAAGTCGGCAAATACTTTGTACACAAACAGTGTCTTGACCCGATAGGTACATTTTTTGTACATCATAATGGTGGCTCATTACATATAATGGACAACTATACATTTCCCAATTCTTATATTATAGTATTATATGTCTCTGATTAAACCATGGCCAATATTATCTTTAATTATGACATAGTTATTGCATAATAGTCGGGTTTCAAACTGTAGTATGTCTGTACATATCACATGGTCAGACCCAGTTAGTTCACGTAGAATATTCAAGTTTTTTACAACTAATTGCAATCTATTATATTTTATAAATAAAATGCATGACTGTACCTTCAAACTGGATATCTGTATCCATAATTATTATTAATGAATAATAGAAGTAATCTTGCAAATTTTATCCATAAGCACATGTTAAATCTATTTATATCTACTTCCTGTCATTTAGGCGGGAAAATAGGGAGACTTAGTTGTTGACATTGAATATGGTTACTTATAGATCTATAGACCAAAGATAAATTTATAGATTTAGGAATTCTTTTTAAATGGTTCATGACAAATAAAGATTTAGATTTTAGGGCAGTATTAAGTCTGTATCTATGTTTGATTATCACCAAAGACAAGAAAGGTTAATATTTACATGAAATCTATGGCAAAATGTTCTAAAATTTATGAAAAATTTCTTTTTATTAAAATCTAAGATAGAAACTGGTTCAAATAATAAAACAATATTTGCAATTGTTCTTGTTAATTTTATATCTTATTATGACAGGAATCCTTTCACATACAACAACTTTTTTTCTAGAAACTAGAAAGTTTTTTAAATTGAACATTTTTGTTCTCTCTTGAATGATATTTTATTTTTATTGATTTTGGATTTTATAAAAGATTTAATTACTTTAAATTCAGATGAATATTTTATTATGAATCATAATTTATTTATTTTAAAAAAATATTAAAGTATACAAACTGTTTTTTTTATTTACTTCTTTTTTTACCAATAATTTTCTGAATCAATGTCTACATAACACAGTACCACAGTGTTAAAACAAAACAAGAGACATAAAAACTACAGTAACTAGAGCTAAGTGACGCGACACAACTGATTGCATGAAATATTTCACCAAGAAGTCCACACGCGTTACCCTGGTGCTATCCAAAAATCCTGGGGAGAACACTGCAGTAAACATGCACAAATTTTACGTATCCGTCTCTGTTCCTGTGTTTTACCATTGTCAGGTCAACATCCTGTAATAGGAAAATGTGCTTTTTAAAAACAAATTTAAAGTTTGACAGCGTGATATTGCATTAATAAAGAGCCAAAGGCAGATTTTAGTACTCTTATGTTGAACATTTTGTATGATGCACTGTCGATGTAACAGATTATAGAACATCAAATTTATATCATAAGTCTGAACTTTGTTATCATGTTTATGTCAATCATTGTTATGATGCTCAAATTATTACCATGTCATGATTGCCTTTTGTTACTAAATCGTACAGGGTTGAAATCAGAATAAGTAAAAATGTCTGGCTGGCTCAAATATTTTTTTGAAGCCCTGGCTAGCAGAACTTCCAACAGGACTAGGAAAATGTTTCCGTTGACCCGGCCTGCCAACCAAGATGGTTGACATGGCTAAAAATAGAACATAGGGATAAAATGCAAGTTTTGCCTATTATTTTGAAAACTGCTATAGATAAAAAAATGTAGAAAAAAATGTTCAAAATGTTGAGCTCTACCTAATGTTCAAAACTGTCAAACGACTTCTTATATTAGTGTTCCAGCTAGGTGGTTTTCACAGAGCTGTCCGCCCGTCCTTTCCCCGAGTACCGCCCTGTGCCCTTTTTAAGACGCCCTGCTCTTTTTCGTAAGTCCATGCCTTTATTGCTGTAATATTTTGAAGAAATACAATTATTCTACATGTCTTCATATTTATGACAAGTTTATAACCCTCAGCTAATTAACATTTACAGCTCAGGTGTAATAAGTTGTGATTACAGATAATCCGCTTATCGACATCGGATGGGTCATTAATCCGTTAATTAAACTTCATAATTGACCATTGTAATAATTTTTCTCATTAAATTCGGTCAGTCAGCATTTCAATTTCAATATTTTTAAAAAGATGACAATTTGAGTTTGATGTATCTGTAGATCGTCTGTTGTTTATATGTCAAAGATTTTTTTTTTTAAAGTGATCTTTTAAACTAGTTTTAATCCAGAAGAAAGTAAAAACAATGCTTGACTGTACCTTTCATTGAATATCTTTATCCAAATTAAATTAATTAAAGCTGTAATCCATGATCACAAATTGACTGCTTTGTTTACATTTGTTGAAAGCCATGTGCTTTTTTGGCGGAAAAATTCGGGAAACCCCTCTAACAAGAAACAGTTACTTTTCATTGTTATTTATAGACAGTAAGATTTTCATTTTGATTAACTGCTAATTTATTTCATTAAAAATGAATACTTTCTGGGGGTGTTACTGATAATACTTTAAAACTCTACATCTAGGGGTGTGTAAAATGGAAAAGGGGGTGGGGATTTTTTATATATAATATTACAAATATAAGTTTAACAGTCTGAAAAGACATGGTTAAATGGATTTTAAATCTGAAAAACTCAATGTGGTTTATTATAATTCATTTATTATTTCTATCATGATCAGAAACACTGGGCTACATGTATTAGGCATTTCAAACATATATTATTGTCTTTATTATTAAAGAACATTCAAGACTATTAATAAGTATGTACCTGTAGTAAAAATACCCTGGTAGGGCCTTAAAATTTCTACTGGGCCCTTGGAAAAAAGTTTTGGGATCCAGGTTGGCCCCTGGAGAAAATGTAAGGTATTGTTCGGAACACTACACTAGATCTGAAATACAGTCAATAGTGTTTCCCCCAAGAAGGTTTAGCATGGATATACGCCATGCCCTATTTAAATGACGCCATACCCTTTTTTTGTCTTAATAAATGACGCCATTGTCTCAAAAAATGCCCTTTCTTCCTGTCTTCATGTTTCTGGCAAGTTTAGGACCCTCAGCTTATTAACATTTACAACAGGTGTTATAAAGTTGTGATTACAGTTAATCCGCTTATCTTACAAAGTTCTACAAGTTCATTTATACTGTGAATCCTGATTTAAAAAAAAGGGGCCCAACTTTTGTTGATCAGAACTGTCCCCTGAATTAATTGAAGTGAAATTTTGAACTAGATTTTCAGATCTTATATCCTAATCTTCATATTTTGAAACAATACACTTGCTATCTTGAGTTCTAATTCCTTCAACAACTGCCAGTCCATACTTTACCAATGCAATATGACAATTTATTGCCTTTCTTGTTTTCAGCATACTGTAGGTGCCTTTTGTTAATTTTCCATACACTGTAGGTGCCCTTTTTGTCGAGCCTTCGACTTTTGTCGAAAAAGCGAGACATAGCGATCCTACTTTCCGGCGGCGGCGTCCACAAATATTCACTCTGTGGTTAAAGTTTTTGAAATTTTAATAACTTTCTTAAACTATCCTGGATTTCTACCAAACTTGGACAGAAGCTTGTTTATGATCATAAGATTATATTC